AAAAGAAAAAGGCATTGCTTTTTGTATTTTCAAGATAAATCTTTCATTAGAACATTCCAAAAGTAATTTAAAAAGAAAAAGAAATATCCATCAAGAACAAAGGGAGATTCAAAACCAAAATCCAACCCGTTAAATTGCCTAAAACTCAAATCTGCATGGAGAACGAGACAACTGTTGGATTTACTTGTCAGGTAGACGATTCTGGTAAAGATGTCATCTCCTTTACTATAGTTCGTTATGAAATGCCTCGTCGTTTTGATGAGCTACAGTTCAGTGTAACAATAGAATGTTTCTCTTCCGACACCAATGTATGGACTGCCAATAATTTAACTCTGGATGTACCTCTTAGATTAAACCCTTTTAATTGGGGTAGGATATTTAGATCAGCTGCATCAGCTGGTGTCATTGATGGAGTATTATGTTGGCTTGATCAAGTTTGGAGACAGATCACTTTTTATGATAGTGTCTACAAGTGTTTCTGGGCTTTGGAATTGCCTGAAGAGATGGTGTTCGGAAACAGTTGTTATCTTGGATTATCGGGTGGGGCTCTCTATTTTGCATTGAATTGTGGGGATGCCATTACTTGAAAATGGATATTGCACAACTTGTGTATGATTTTGGAGAACCTTGGTGGAGAACACAACACTACAGATTATTTTCTTATGAGTGGCATCAATGGCCACGTCTATTGTAGACTATGGATTACTCGTCTTGGTTATTGTCTAGTATTGATTTGTACTTCTTTTAATGACAATTTCTGAGTATTCAAATTTACTTCAAACTTTGATTTTTTTTATGGAATTCTTTCTTTTTATTTATGTTAAATCATTTATTTGATCCTTGATTGTACTCTATCTTGAAAAATTCTAATAAAAACAATAAGACTAGAATATGAGCCTTAACTTTTATCGAATCAAAAAAAGATGAGCCTTTGCTTCATTTGAGATTCCTACTAAAAAAAATCATTGCCTTGGAAAATACACTTATTGGATGGAGATGAAAGGGATGGTCATATTTATACAAACATCTTTCTTTAATTTATTCATACTTTTTAATGGTTTTGTTCCACTTTTCTCATTTTACTCTTTTAATACAATGCTCCAACCATTGGTACAGATTCATACCGTTGGCTTTTTCTCAGAATGGAGGTGAGTGTAATATTTCATTTTATAAGGCAAGTTAGTGCTACTGAGTTAAAAGGATTTCCGTACATGTCGGGGTAAGATATGTATTAAGCCAATTTAATATAATGTACTCTCACTTTCATCAGGATAGATTGAAAAGATAATATTTGATGAAGAAAAACATTAAGTTGGTTTTCCTGTTTTGCAATAATTTTTAAAACCTTTTGGTCTTGTAGACTATCACTACAATGAGGGATACGAAAAGTCTGTTGCACTGGTTCATTGTGGCTATTGATGAGCCATCAACAAAGCCTCTTGTTCTTTGGCTTCAAGGAGGTCAATATCTCATTCCCAACTTTTTTTCCCTTTTATTCCATTTTTGTTGTACTATTTCTCATCTTTTAGCTTGAGCTAGTTTGACTACAGTGTTTTGATGATTTTTTGTTGTCTATATCAGTTAAAATATGATCAGATTCCATTTTCTTGAAATTGTATGATTTCCTCCTCTAAGATTGGATAATTTTCTAATATTTAGCAGCTATCCTTCGGAATAGTCGCGGTGTATGCAAGCTGGCCCGGACATCACATCTAAAAAAACAAAATCTGATATCGAGATACTAATTTGAGTTTTTTTTTATTATTATTAAATTTGAGGTTTCTCCACATTACTTTTGCACATTCTTTCTAAAAGTATAAAAATCTTTCTTTCCATGACGATACTTTTTGTGTAGTAGCAACTGCATATGTCTAGAAAAAAGGCTTCTTGGTTGTTCGTCATTTATTTTTTGACTAAAGAAATGCTTCTTACAGGGCCTTGATGTTCATTGATTGGCTATGGACTAGCTGAGGAAGTTGGACCTTTTCATATTGAGAAAGATTGGAAGTACCCTATATTGGAACCCTTACTTGTTAATGTGAGATATTACCTCACATTTTGTGGAAGAAATGGAAAAGGGATGAACCCTAACAGTAACGAGGAGAGAGAAGAGAGAAAATATCTGCACACTTCTTATTTCCAGAAAGTTCTTCTGTCTATCTTATTACAATGCTAATAAAATGAAAGTAACGTGAATAGTAAAGAAATGGGCCGGGTATACAATTGGGCCAGCTTATGTCTGACTAAACTATGTAGGCCCAATATTGTCAACACCGTCCTCAAGCTGGAGGGTGTAGACACTCCAAACTTGCACAAAAACTGATGGTGGAGAGGTCTTCTTAGTCAACATATCAGCAAGTTGATTGGGGCTGGAGACAAATTGAAGAGAAATCAACCCAGAACTCAAGTTATCCCGTACAAAGTGACAATCAACCTCAATGTGCTTGGTGCGCTCGTGGAAAACTGAATTTTTAGCAATGTGTAAAGCTGCCTGGCTATCACAAAACAGAGGAACAGGAGCAGAAATATGCAAATGAAAGTCACCAAGCAGTCGAACCAACCAAGAAATTTCAGCTACCACCATCCTCAAGGCCCTATATTCAGCCTCGGTTGATGAGAGAGAGACAGTAGGTTGTTTCTTGCTCTTCCATGAAATAGGACTGCCTCCAAGAGTAATATAGAAACCAGTGACAGATCTTCTAGAAATAGGACATGCAACCCAATCAGAGTCTGAGAAAGCTGCTAAGGACAAATCAGAGCTGGCAGAGAGGAGAATCCCTTGGGCAGGAGCATTTAAGAGATATCTGAGAACATGAAGAGCTGCTAGCATGTGAGGAACATGGGGAGATTGCAAAAATTAGCTGAGGTGTTGGACCGAAAAAGATATGTCAGGTCTGGTATGGTGTAGGAAATTGAGTCTACCTACCAATCTCCTGAATTTGGTAGGATTAGAAAGAGGATCTCCCATATCAGTAACAAGTTTAACAGTGGAATCAAAGGGAGTAGAAACAGGGTGAAGTTGTCACAATGAAATTCAGCCAAGAGGTCAGAAGTGTACTTATATTGGCTCATGAGGTACCCCTGTGGATGTGAAGTGATTTTCAAACCCAAGAAATAATGGACAACACCTAAATCCTTAATCTTGAATTAGTTATCCAAGAAAGCCTTTAGAGAATTCAATTCACTAAGATCATCCCCAGCTAAGAGGATGTCATCCACATAAATGGCAACCACAATAAGAGAAGCACCAAAAGCCTTTGTAAATAAAGAGTAGTCATTTTTGCTTGAAGTGTAGCCTCTGGATAGCAAAGAATCAGACAACTTTGAAAACCACTGCCTAGATGCTTGCTTGAGGCCATAAAGAGACTTCCTGAGTCTGCAAACCAAAGGAGAAGAAGGGGAAGATGGGGCAGAGATCACCAAACCAGAGGGAAGCTTCATGTAGACCTCCTCATGTAGGTCACCATGCAAAAAGGCATTATTAACATCCAACTGGAAAACAGTCCAACCCCTTTTGACAGCCAAAGTTAGAAGGCATCTAATAGTGGTGATCTTAACAACTGGGAAACATGTCTCAGTGTAGTCAACCCCTTCTCTTTGGGTATCCCCTCTGATTACTAATCTGGCCTTGTACCTCTCAATGGTACCATCTGACATTTGTTTAATTTTATAGACCCACTTACAAGGGATAACCTTCTTATGTGGAGGAAGAGGGACAATGTCCCAAGTCTGATTTGCAGCAAGAGCATCAAATTCCTTTAGCATGGCCTCTTGCCAGGCAGGAATAGTAGCAGCCTGTTGGTAAAATTGGGGCTCATGCATATGCAGGTCAATTGTAGGAACCTTGGATGACACAGGAGGGGAAATGGATGAAGGTATAACAGAATTGCAGGCATAGTCCCCAAGATAAGCAGGGGCTTGAACATTTCTGCAAGATCTTCGAAGTTCAGGAGCAGGTACAGTAGGTGTAGAAGTGGAAGAATGGGAGGTAGAAGAAGAAGAGGAAGAGATGAAAGTAGGAGGAAGAACAGGAGGAAGAGTGGAAGGGGAAGGAGAAGGGACAGGGGAGAAAGAGGGTGGGACAGGAGTAACAGATGGTGTAGAGGGGACATCAACAAATATGGGAGGGGGAGAAGAATCAGAAGAAGAGGAAGATGGAAAGGGGAAGATATGCTCATGGAACACAACATCCCTAGAAAAGAAAATGGAGTGGGAAGATAAATTCAGCAATTTGTATCCCTTCTTCCCACAAGGATAACCCAGAAAAATAGCAGAAATAGACTTGGGTTGAAACTTATCTCTGCGAGGCTTGGGACCGACATCATGGCAAAGGCAACCAAAAGATCTTAGATGATCATAAGTGGGGGCATAACCATGCAATTTTTCAAAAGGGGAGACATTTAGAAGAACAGGAGAAGGAATTCTGTTAATGAGGTAAGTGGCAGTGAGAACACACTCACCCCAATACTTGAGGGGAAGCTTTGATTGGAATAGAAGTGCTCTTGAGACTTCTAAAAAATGTTTGTGTTTTCTTTCAACGATACCATTCTGTTGGGGTGTGTGAGGAATGGTTGTTTGGTGATGAACCCCATTAGCAGTAAAAAATTGTTGAACTTCAGCACTACTACCTAGTTCATAGGCATTGTTAGATCTAAAACATTGAATAGAGGACTGAAATTGAACTTTGACCATCTGAAGGAAAGCTTTAAGAATGGAACGGGCATTACTCTTACAAGACATAAGATGAGTCCATGTGACTCTAGTGAAGTCATAAACTAAAGTCAGAAAATACCTAAAGCCATTGTATGTTTGGGTGTTGTAGGGACCCCAAATATCAATGTGAACAAGTTGAAAAGGTACAATAGAATGAATAATGCTAGCAGGGAAAGGTAACCTCTGTTGTCTAGCCATAGGGCAGACATTACACAGAAAGGGTTGCTTAGATGGAATCTTATATGATAAAAAAGGGATAGACTTCATTCTTGCAAAAGGAATATGACCTAATCTTTGATGCCAAAATACATCATTTTTATTAGCAACAACAGAAGAATTACGTGTGAACTAGAGATTACAGAATGAGAAGTAGAACAAGGAACCTGACCAGGTACATTACAAATAATAGAATTCGAAACAGGAACAAACTTGGAAATAGAAACAGGAGAGGATCTACCAGCTGAATGCAGAAAATACAGTCCATTTGCAGCCTTACCAATTACCAGAGGCCTCCTCAGAGAAGGGCCCTGTAAAATTCAATTGTAAATAGTGAAAATTGCAATGCATGTGAACTGTAGAAGTAATTTGTGCACAGAAATCAAATTGAAGTGAAAAGATGAAACTAAGAGGACATTGTGTAATGTCACATCAGGACTAAGAATTAAGGATCCAGTAGATATGACTTTTACCTTATATCCATTAGGTAAGGTTATTAAGAAATGTGTGGTTAAAGGTTTGAGATTGTGAAGGGGATATTTGTGGGGGTGTCATATGGTTTGTAGCACCATAGTCAATGATCCAAGGATTTCTACCTAAATTTGACACTACATATGCATGAAATGCAGCAGAATGGACCTCAGGGTGGGTGTATGCACCTGCAAAGTTGGCAAATCAAGTGCTGTTAGTAGCAATGCTGTCAAGATAGGAAGTAGGAGTAGCAATGTTGACATGCTAAAGCAGGGTGATAAGATGTTGATATTGTTCCTTGGTAAACCCATGGGCAGCAACTTCAGAAGGACTAGGGTTGAGAAAACTAGAACTTGGACCAGGACTTTCAGACTAAACACAAGCTGCAGATCTCCTACTCTTTGTAAACTTGAAATCTGATGGAAAACCATGTAGCCTATAGCATTTATTAATGGTGTCTCCAGGTTTCTTGCAGTATTTGCATACTACATTAGGAGAAGGACCAGGAAGTTTCTTTGACTCAAACTGAACCCTCTGATTGAAACCTTTATAGTTGCTGATGGGACCAGTTGCAGCAGTAAAGGAGACAGAATCATTTGAAAAACTGGGAATGGGAGGAGAAGTCTCTTTCCGTTTTTCATAATGTTGAAGCATAGAGTATGCTTTACTCAAGGAAGGAAGGGATGTCATCATCAGAATATTGCTTTTACAGGTGGAGTAAGATTCATTTAAACCACTAAGGAACTGATATATCTTCTGCTCCTCAATGAACTTAGGTAATGCACCACAAGAACCACATGTCCAACATAAGCAGTGGTAAGTTCATCCCAGAGACTTCTCAATTTAGTGAAGTAAGTTGCAATATCTAAGGATCCTTGGGAGGCTGCACTAAGTTCTCTTTGGATCTGGATGTATTTGGAACCATTGGAAGTACCAAATCTTTCATTTATATCAGTCCAGATGTCCTTAGCAGTATCAAAACCCATGACACTATTAGCTATCTCCCTAGACAATGAATTAGTTATCCATGCAATGACCATGTCATTGCATCTTTCCCAAAATTGGTAGTAAGGTGAATCAAATTATGGTTTGGATATTCTACCAGTAATGAGACCTAACTTATTTTTGGCAGAGAGTGCAGTCAACATGTTTTTACGCCAATTGACAAAACAGTTCCATCAAAAAGGGGAGACACCAGATGAGTACTCGGACTATCCGAGGGATGTACATAAAAAGGATGAGAGATAGGAATCATGAAGTCATCAAAACCCCCAATCGTAGAAGGCGAACTTACTTCAGGACTACCCATACTGAAAACCCTAGAACTGTAAAGTTTATAGATAAATCCTAAGTAGAACAAATTCGATCAATATTACTGTGATAAGAAGAGTTACCGTCCTCCTTTGCGACCTAAAGGAGCAAAAGCCTTGAAATTTGTTGAGAAAATCAGCAACAATATGCAACTGACCGTCGATTGAGCAAAACACGACCACTACCGTATATTAACCCAAACACATTGAAGAAACACCGCAGAAATCGCAAAACAAGCACTGAAAAACCCAGAAATCAGCGAATGCCCAGAAAAAATGAAAATACCAAAAATTTGACGGAACAAAATCTCCGGTGGAATCTGATAAAACTACTATCGATGAGAAGAGCGGAGCCAAAATCAACTGATTTTTGGCTCCGATACCTTGTTAATGTGAGATATTACCTCACATTTTGTGGAAGAAATGGAAAAGGGATGAACCCTAACAGTAACGAGGAGAGAGAAGAGAGAAAATATCTGCACACTTCTTATTTCCAGAAAGTTCTTCTATCTATCTTATTACAATGCTAATAAAATGAACGTAATGTGAATAGTAAAGAATTGGGCCGGGTATACAATTGGGTCAGCTTATGTCTGACTAAACTATGTAGGCCCAATATTGTCAATATTACTTTTGTAACTTAGGTCCGTACTCGGACCCCCCCCCCCGTACCAACCGTACCTACCTCCTACC